CATTTCTCCATTCCGCCATAGCAGACATTATAAAGTATCCTCACAAGCATATGTCCTATTGAGCTCTAACCCACTCAGTTCCTCTTACAGTAAATCTCTTAGCAGGGGAGTAGATTGAAAAATCTATTCACACGCAATGCACAGGTGCTCAGATCAGATACTGCCTGGAGCGAATTGATTTTGTTTTTGAGTGGGGAATAGGGTTCTCTTTTTCTAAAGAACAGGACAAAGCAGGTGTCTGAAAGAACCTCCGCTTCATCTCTCCCGGACACCGATCGAGACTTCTGGCTGTCACGCCATCATTTCCTGGATAACAATGCCCATTTTGGGGTCAAGCAGCAGTAGTCTTATCTGATATTGTTCACCGGGTCGCGCATTTACTAGTCTTATTGTCCTGACAGAATTTTCCTCTCAAATTCAAGGGGTGTAAAATGAACGGAGGTGGCTTTAGGAAGGATAATTCTTGGTTTTCTTCCAGAACTTTCAGATGACTTCCCTCATTTGATTACACCCCCCCCCCCCCCATCCCTTGGCATGGACAGGAGACTCTTCAAAGTCTTTCCGGATGTGATCGGACCCATTCTGTCATGTCAGTCAGCAGTTTGGGGTGTCTGCCATCAGTGACAAGCCTGGTACTCACTGAAGAAAAAGTGAGGAACTCCACAGCCCCTTGGGATCAAATGTCAGGTGATGTATCAAACAATGGCCTGGTTTTGTGTCTGTGAAGTTCACATCTGCGACGTTCTGAAACCACAGACTGTGAGTCCGTGTCAGTAAATGACACTGTCAGAAAGATGTTGGGGTGATGGAGAAGGTTATATGGGTGAAGGCCCCTTGACCAGGGACCAGACAACCTAAAAAAATCATTTTCTCCTGAATATGGCACATTTGTTCTAATCTTCGAAATAATGTCAATCTGTGAAAAATTATTGTCGAAGAGGTTAAATTAGAGGGCAGCTAGTTGTTATTAAAAAAATCAGGTTTATATAGATATTTGCTATTGATGTTTTTCTCTTTATAGATTAGTGAAAACCAACATATTTTATATTCATTTTACAAGAAACATTTAAAAAAACCCTGCTGAAGTTTGACCCATCTCTGCTTCCATGACACGGTCTTCCCCTGCCTTCTGAGCAGTGCTCCGGGATCGTGGCAGCCAAAGTGGCAGGGGTGTATGTCACAGGTGACCCTCACCATCCCTCGCCTGTTAATTAATCGTCTGAAGCCCACCGGAGGCGCGGCCAGCGCAAACGATGATGAATGGGCGCCGCCTGTCCACAAGGTGCCATCCCATTGGGCGGTGAAAATGGAGGCCGGGGAGGGGCACCACAACCCGCGGACGGATTAAGCTTCCGGGCTCTGAGCATTAACAGTCACGGACGGTCCCATCACAGCAAGCTGATTAAACATCAGACCTTTTCTCAATCTCAAGATAAATGGACATGATTTCGGCCATGTCTCAAGTTAATTGGGGCTTCTTGGTGTCCTGCCTTTCCTCGTTAATCTAAAACACAATTCAATCAACCGCTGCACTTTCATCAGTTTCATTATCATATTCCTCATTTAGCGAATGCATTTTACATTTAAACGGTATGTAATTATTTGGGTTCCAAATGTTTTGTGAAATGCCACATAGCCACTCACATCACGAACTTGAGTCACATAACATGGTAGTTAGGAGGGTAGGCTGGCTCTTGGGTGCCAAACAGGCTCATGCAGGTTTTACTTGCGCAAAAATGTTGAGGTCAGAACAAGAAAAAAAATCATTGGTTCAGAGAGATAACCAATCAAATTATAGAGGAGGTGGGTCCAGCAACTAAAACAGGAGGGACCAAGATATCTGATTGGTTGGTCCTGAAACGTCTAGTTGTTTGGACCCACCTCCTCTACAATCTGATTGGCTATCTCTGTGATCCAATAATTTTTCCCTCTGCCCTCAGAACATTTTTGTGCAAGGGAAATTCCCATGAGCGTCAAACAGCTGCAGTAATAGACAATGGGTTGTCACACACTGGAGGGTGATGGCTTCGGCCCCCAGCAAGTGTAGCTGTAACAAGCCCAAGGCACTAAGGTCAAGAAGCGTGGAAGCATCATTACTTGATTGCTACCACTTCTCTATCAGCTGTTCATTTACTATAAAGCTAAGTGTTTAAGGCTGTTCGCTGTTCCTTCTGGGAGGGTTAACACCTGAAATTACTTCTGGAGTCATTAGGAGTCGTCACTGTATTCAAGTTTGAGAATGATCTGCTGTTTTCCTGTCATGTGACCCTCGCTGCCCATTTTTAGAGGCCGCCTCTGGCCAAGGGGTACGGCCCTGTATCAGCGCCTGCGTCTCCGTGGGGACAATAATCTCTCGTTAAGGATAAAGACTGCTCTATTTTCAGATCGTCTGCAATTAAAGCGCCCGGCAGTCGCGTCACGTGACTCTTTTGATCGTGGCTCTGCTTGTAAACCAAAATCTGTGCCGATGTGGATTATGTAACTCTCTGGAGAGTCGGGCACATTAAACAGGCCTTCGTCAATTTTTCTGGCATCTGATTTGGGTCAGACCCAAGACCAGGAAAAATAAATGTGCCTTGGTACGTGACACATTGAGATTTCATTCAAAATATGGTGTAAACAGTTAGCTAATCTCCTGTGGTTTGTTCTTACTTAACTGTTGCATAACCACTCTTCAAAGGTAGCTGGGGATCTCATTATATTATTCACCAGGTCCCTCCACCCAGCTCACTGAGAGCCTCGCTTGTTGGGTATGAATTATGTGATATTTTTGTACCTAAAATTTCTTCCCTAAGCTGTATTTTTATTCTTTTCTAAAGTGCCTATCTATCATGTTGTTTCATTCCAGTCGTTATTGATTCATGAGCACGTACGTCCAGTGTTTACATAAATGTTTCTGTATCAGCATCATTGAAGCTGTCACAAGCTGACACCCCCACGGATGGGGCAGCAGGGAAATTGGTGGTTGTGTGCAGGGGCCACAAATTAGCACTGGAGAGGGGGCGGGTGGTCGGCCCTTGATTTGCCGCCCCCCCCCCCCAAAAGGGAGATGAGTTCCTGGGATACCACTCTTACTTTGATCATGTGTGAATTCCATAGCATGCTCTCGGAAGTCAGGCAGGTGTTCCAGCAGATGCTCTCATGTTACCATCAAAACAGATCTCATTCTGGAAGGTTCTCCAACTCCTGCGGCTCCCCTACGGTAACTGGTATTATCCACGAAACAGAAGGTGCAGGGGTACTGCATCGCCAAGGAAACGCCATCCTTTCTCTTCAGAGCTCTGTACCTTCATCTTCCTACCACAACCCAGTCCTGATTTTAGCACCCCAGTTCTGGCAGCAACAAGCGTGCATTCTCACATCTCACCCAGACATCAGCTTGTGGCATTGAGTGCCATTAAAGGTCATGCTGAAAGCCACCAGCTTTTTTATCAGTCAATGCGCTTGGATGCTCTAAATGGGCTAATTTGGCTTAGGCGGCCCAGAGATCAAGTCCAGACTTTTTAAGCTTTGAGCAAGAAGGTGCTTTTTAAATTACACTGGATAATTTCATTGGAATAGCTACAGCCGATTCTCCAGCCGGGACATACCCAATATTACAGTTAATCCTGATCCATCCTTTGGCTGAGCGGGATGAACGTATCACTGAGCTCCCACCCCTGTGAGTTTTATGTCTGTCCTGCCCAACAGAGATTCAAACAAGCCGACAGCTCCAGTTGTCACAGCCAAAAGAACTGCATTGCAGCCAACCCCTGACCGTGACCCCCACCATTCTGGATGGAGGAATAGCCCTGATTCTTTCCTCCACTACAGTTTCAATTCCAAATTATATTCTTTCTTCCCTCTCAAAGCTGTCTGGACAAACGACTGTTTCCAGAGATAATATGGGATCATTCCAACATGATCTCCGTGTTCAAAAGCATGTAGCATGGAGATGGCCACACACATCCTACACAGGAATTCACAGGGGTGACAAAAAAATTCAGGCATCCCCAGTGGCCCTCAAACGATTCTGATGGCAAGTCATTTTCACCCTCTCCCGACTCAAGCCTGTCAGCATTTCTCTGTCATTCCGATCCAGGGACTTGATTTCCCCACAGGACACTTCTGAAAAATTCACTTACTGTTAAAGCGGCGACTCCGAAACTGTAAAATTAGTTATACTCCTTTCACAAAAGTTATAGAGAAGGATCTTGATGATTTACGTGCGCGATTTGGGGATCCCCTCAGGTTCCTCCTACAGTTAGGTGAAGCGGCGTTTCTAAACTGCCCTAATTATGTCAGTCGTGGATTGGCATCCTACCCAGCATGTGCCCAGCCTTATGCCCTTGCTGGGACAGCCTCCAAATTTCCCTGCATGGATATGCACGATAAACACCACATTTAAAGACGTAAGCCCCCCTCCCAAAACAACATCAAGAAATCCACCAACTTACAAACTATCGAGCAGTATTCCATCGCATATACATGCCGGAGTCCCATAGCAAATAATATACACACACCTGAAAGCGGATGTGCTAGGACGTTAACGGGTGTATCGCTCGGTGTAAAATCAGAATGGGCAGCACTGCCAGCCGTACATATACACAACATAGCCGTCCAAATTTACCGTGTAATACAGCACGCATATAGCATTGTATACGTGATGGACAGCCACAATGAGCAAACATGATGCAGATACAGTACCTGTACTGTGCTATTGCGTTACATCAAAAGCAACTTACTGTAACAAGCAATGCAATATTTGCCCGCAGCTTCAGATGCCATCTTCCTTCTCTGTTCCTACTGCTACCTCGTTGATCTTTTGAATTTGTGGTGCAATTTTTTGTTAAAGTCCAATCTCTTACTATAAAGTGTTGTGAATATAGAAAAAAATAATACAAATATAAAGAGTATTATATGTATAATACAGTACCATACCTAATGTCTCCCCTGTGACTACTGAAATACGCCCAAATCGATTCTCGTCTGATGGTTCCAGAAGTAATTTCAGGTGTTAATCAATGGATACCTGCATATTTATAAACACATTTTAACGCTACAGGGCAATACACAAAACACTGCCAAACACAGAATAAAAACAGCTTTAAAAAAAGTGTACGCATTATAAACAATTCCAAAGCAGAAGCCTGGAAACGATGCAAAACTTTATTTAAAAGACGCACAGTGTTGGTCTGTTGGACAGACTGCCGTCACGTGTGGATTTTCCCAAAGGTCATGTTACTTTTCGTTAGGCTCACTTATCAGGCCTTGCTACACTAGGTAGCTCAAAACATTCCACTTCCTGTTCAGGCACTTTCATCTTCAGTGCAACTACCCACATTGCCCCAAATGCCACTTTCTCCTTTCCCCATCTTTAAACTTATTCCTTGTTTCCTTGGGGAAATCTCTTTTCCATGCTAATCCTAGCATCAAATGTTACCTTCCCCTCCCTCATAGGGAAAAAGATGATATGGAATATTTCGACGCTTTGAAAAAAACAGCAAACTCCATATAAAGGAATCGGTTTCTCTGGCAGAACCCCATCACGCTCTCGGGAAAATAAAATAAACGTATTTTAGACGTTCACATGGCTAAAAGTCATACCGATTATGCACATCAGATTAAAAGCCGTGAACACCTGTTAGTGTAGCTTAAGAAAGAGGACCCAGGGAGGGAGCGACGATGCCCTGTGGTTAAGCTGCCTGTTTGGAGAGGAAACCTCGCCTGACTTTCACAGGTGTGAATAATAATTCACCGACTGCTCCACCTTTCAGTCAGCGGCTCATTTTTACTAGCATCAGACAGGTGTGATCTTCCGCTCAAATTAGCGGCTAAATTGAGTCAAGACTGAAATGGCGGATCCCACAGTGTGCCTTTAGCTGCTGGTCCTGTGGTCCCGCTGGCCTGACTCCTAACTGATCACGGGCCAGCAAACAAGGTGGGAGACTTAACCCCATTCCGCTTGAGGCACATTCTTCCATCCACCAGGGGGCGGTGGCAAGAGAGAGACCGGGAGGTCCGGTATGGAGAGAAAATGGGGAGGAACGTCACTCCCCGTAGCAGCTTCTTCCTCCTCCTCTTTCAGAATGCTTCAAGGGACAGAAAGGGAGAAAAGAAAAAGTAGAGGTCACACAAAGATCACGGAGTGGCAGAGAGTAGCAGAAGTACGGTAGAAAGCTGGACGTCGCCCGCTAACAGGTACTGTGTCACCATGGCACCCTGTTTACCTGCCACTGTCCAGTGCTGCCTTCCTCTTCTCTCGCCTGCTTAGCCAGTCATCCACATTCCGCTCAGGAGATTTCCAGGCAGCATCTGGGTCCTCCTTCCTCTGCCTTTCAGCTGGAAGCGAGAAAATGTCCATAATCTGCAAGTTCAATTCTCTAATACACTAACAATAACTAACTGCAGTTTATGGACACCAGCTAGACTCACTGCATGTGAAGTAAGGTTGGTAAGAGGTGGAAAATTTCTGGAAACTCCCCATCCCATGGGAAGTTGAGCTGGGGAATTTTGGAAATATTCCAAGCTGGAAACTTTCCATGGGAATTAACGGGAATGTATGGGAATTAACGAGAGAATTCCCAGTATTTTGCAACCCCAGAAGTATGTAACCTAAACTCCTGAATCCACAGAAGGGTACAAAAAGTATAAAAAAAAAAGGGTAAAACTACAAGAAGTAATCAGCATAAAAAGAGAGGCACTCGCCCACCAAGCTCGGATCTTTTTCGCAGCTGTAAGATCACACATCTTAGAGCTCAACTGGGTCAGGCAACATCCACTGCATCTCCTGCCATTACATGTTTCTCATCTCTGTCGCAATGCAGTCATTTGCTTTTATTATTTGTGCCATATTTCTTCCTTATCTTCCACCCTGCGTGTCACCAGCTGCAGAAGGCACTCGACAGACTTAATTGAATATTGATGGCTGTCTGAGTGACACGCCTACTTCTTTACCAGTTTTATGCTGCTGTAATGCATTCGTTAACAGCATGAACCCACCTGGACATTATCCCCACGAGGCACAGGTATTAAGAACACAGACACACTTGTCTTCAGACATCTAAATAGCTCTCGTTGGTTTAGCCTGCATCTTTTACGCTTGTGTGTGCACCCGACAGGTCGTGCAGAGTACTCCAAAGGATAGACCGCAAACAAGGAAAACTCCGCAGTTTTCACGCGGACCTTGTAAAATCTAGTTCAATCCACAAGCGCCCCCTGGTGGGCATTCACTCACCTTCAATCTGCCGCTTGAGGTCGTCGATGTCCTTTTTTGTCATGTGGGAAAATCTGCAGCTAGAGCCAAAGACACATTGGCCTGAAATGATCAGAGATTTGTAGTTAAACTGACCGTTTGTTAATATTTAGACTAATTTTACCATTAGCATTTTCTAGCTTCTTTAGCTAGTGGCAATGTCAGTTAAACTCACAGCTAGAATAGCTGGTGGTTCGAATTACGGACAGGCCTGCGAGGCGCTTAACCTGAACTTCTAAGGCAAAAAATGTAAAAACGAGCAGATATGTAGTACATTCTATAATTATAGCTAAGCACGATATAGAGAAATGCATTTCTCATACTTACCTGTCTGGATGAATTTCCTGCAGGGCTTCTTAGTTTGTTCTTCCGCCAAGATGGCAGCAGCATCTATAACATCATTCAAACTGTTACACTGGCAATAAACAGAATTAATGCAATATAATATTAATTTATATGGCATATATGCCATTGGCACCACTAAAAATGCACGCGGAAAAAAAAGAACTTAGAAGAATTTAGTGATCAGTGGAAGACGCATTTCAATGCAGTCATACGTCTGTTACTGACGCTGATCTTTATGTCAGCTATTAAACAGCACCCCTGAACAATGGGAACAATTTAACTGCAATAAAGGTGCACATCACTCCGAAATAAACGTTTCAAGAAAGGAACGTGCCTCTAAAATTGTCGAACCAAGCCTTTTTGGATCTATGGTGCTGAACGCCGTTCAGATGCTTTTTTCGGTTGTGCATGTTGTCCTGGAAGGATCGGTCACAGTAGTCGCAGTAATACCTCTTCCCCATGACTGCGCCTCAGCTGCAAGAGAAAAATCATCAGTAGCTGGACTCTTCAGGAGCTGCGTGTGCGGTACGAGCTTCACAGCATGTCTGAAAAGAGTAGTTCTTAGTTTTGTTTTGCCTTTGTAATATTATTTTATAGTCATCAGATAAGATTTCTTACTTATGTACGATTGATTAGGTCAGCAACAAGCTCATTCATAATCCGCTTTGTTTGCACAAGTACACAAATGAAGTGAGACATATGGCTAGTGATATACTCTTCATGTAATTCGGCAACGGAACCCATATGATAGAGAAAAAACGGCAAGTGGTTCTTACGCATTTGTTGTAAGTAGATCTTTCTTCAGATGACGATAGGGATATTATCGGTTCAACAGTGGCTCTGATTAATTAACTACCTCATTGACTGACTTATTGATCTAAACAGAGCATATTAGGTGATCTTAAAAACACAAGGTTATTATTAAGAACTTCCAGTTTCTTCTTCCTCATTGATTTTGGGGTCTCTTAAATACACAGAAACCTGCATTATCGCCGCCTACAGTGTAGGAGTAAAATCTACCTATTAACAACGTCGCGTTAATATGTCGTCACGGTGAATATGACATCGTTTCCTCGCTGCCGGTACCTTCGTTTCCGGTCTGTGCGGAACTCCAGCAATCAGTCATGGCGCTTTCCCAGAGTGTGTACAATTTGCTCTTCAGGAGGACCTCAACCTTCGCTGTAACCATCATGGTGGGAGCCGTCCTCTTCGAGCGGGTATTCGACCAAGGCGGAGACACCATTTTCGAGCAGCTGAATCGCGGGGTGAGTGTTTGGATTGAGCCCGTCCCGGTTGACCTCTGTGTTGTGCGGCTAGCCGGCTAATTGGTCAAATGCCGAATGACCCAGTGAGACCGAATGTTGTATTCATGTGGCTTTATCTTTTAGAAACTGTGGAAGCACATCAAGCACAACCACGAGAGCAAGGACGAGTAGTAATTTGGGCTCGGGCGCCACAGCCGAAGAGCCTCGCCTCCAACATCCCGTCGTCATCGTCGTGATCTTCTCGGACGCGATCTCCCACCGGCGGGTTTCCATGATCCAAGAGTTGGATAAAAGGTTTAAAGACTTAAATGGAATACATGTCCATTTGGCGTTATTAAGAGTCAGATACAGCCATCGTATGACGTCCCACTCTGTCATGTAATTTATCATCAATTATTCCGTTTTTAATGGAGTTCCAAGATATTTTCTGCCATCAGTTTCCTCATTTCCATAAACTCAGAAGCGGTACAATTTTGCTCACTTCTGGCTCTGACACGTAGATCATCTCTGCTGATCGTTTACTCTAATAATAAAGGTGACGAATGTTGCTGCACATTGTTTTTTATGCTTGTGGACAGCTTACAACTTCATTATATCATGCTCATAAATTCAAATGAGGTTTCAGTATTTAATGCTTGGGGCTACTTAGTTCACATTTATCTTCAGATTGTTTGGAATAGCCTTTAAGCAACCGAGTCCGCCTTGCATGAACGCTCGGGCTTCTAACCGTATAAGAGCGTTACTTCTCGTTGTTGGGCTCGTTTTTGTTACATCGGAGCGATTTCTTAGTATAGACCAACTTTCTACATAAATTGACACAAAGTAATAATTAGCGCCGAACTAAAGTGCACGAATGCAAATGTTTAGATAATTTGGGGTATATGCGGTGAAATGCTTAACTGATTTTTCTTAATGATTCTTGCGTTTGTATTATTATTACATTGATTGGGGGCTCTGCCTGCCTTAGGAAAAACATTAATTTTCCTGTGGTATAATTTCCATTTACCACCGTTAGGGGGGGAGCAGGCTCCCGTAAAATACCAGCTACCCAGGAGCCGTGCATTTAGTCACAGCCGATCGTTGCTGTACCTGCAGATCGAGTCTAAATAAATACTTTTATTTCGAGAGGTCGGTAAGTCAACCAACTCTAATACTTTGTAGTCCATCGTAATCCACTGGCATGGGAAAGGCATTGTTTGCAAAACCAAACGGTCAGGCAACCAAATGGATTCTCAATAGAATAGAATACACAGCTTTAATAGAATACACAAGTTTATGCCAAGATACTCATAACCGCTACCATCTTCAGCTTGCAAGACTTTTGAATGGTATTCAGATGTACAGTAACACTGAATTTTCTGTATTTTTCTGTATATCCTTCACCCGCCACCATGATAGCGGTTTTAGGTCCTGTATCAGTAAGAAGGAGAAAATGTTCAGACGAATATACAGGATAAAAAGTAAAATGCTGAATAATTATCCTGACTTACTTAAGAAATCCATCCATCCATTTTCTGAAACCGCTTATCCTATTCACGGTCGCGGGGGGTCCGGAGCCCATGGGCGCAAGGAAGGGAACAACCCAGGATGGGGCGCCAACCCAGCGCATAACACACCCACACACGCAGGAATTAAGAAATCGGTTATATGAGTTAAACTATGATGTTAAAATATATTTCAAAAACAAAGACTAATTTTTAGTGAATTCACGTGGTTTCTCTGTGGTTCCAAAACATGTTTGGCAGGATTACCATGAACTGTTAATGAACTATTTGGCGATGGATTCTTTTTCTTTTCAGGCGATAATCAACAGCGAATGGCGTGGGTTTCATAAGCATATTTCCATGGCCGCGACTGCTGACGTCTCTTAAAATCACTACCTGCTGTTTTCCGTTTTTCCCCGTAGTGGTTCATTTTGCAATTCTGTAAGGCTCCGCGAGGAGGCGATAGAGCGCACAAAATAAAAACTTCGAAATCAATCGAAGATCGCGCAACATGCAAGGAACTGTCATTCCCAGAGAGGCACTCCTAACAGTAATAACAAAAGTCTGTATGCAAATTGCACAAACATTAAATCGTTTAGAAGTCAGTGTTGACAAAATATACTACTGTATAAAGAAATAAATTGCTTATACTTTCTATATCACCCTCTTGTAAGACAAAGCAGTGAATCAGGCTTTAATTTACTCAGTTGACTCTGCACTGTTAGGGTTTTGGGAAAGCAAGGATGAATGTCATAACTGATTTCTATATTTACTGCAAATCTAGCTCCACAGGTTTGTCTGTCCTCACGTGATACGTGTACTAAGTGAAACTGAAAACAACTCTAAAGGTTCCATATATATGACCCGAAAGCTAAAAAGAGAGAGAATTGAGCTTATATAACATAATAAACCAAAACTCAATTTCTGAGGCAGAACACCCATAGTAAGAATTTGTTGCATAATATAATAATAAAAATGAAACAATACCCTACTGGTTTGTCATGCAGAAGAACATGCAGAATCGGGACTGGTTTAGGAACTGCCAAAATGACCTCTGAAAGAATCTGGTCATCCGAAGTGCAACTGAACCCACAACCTCCCGGAATGTTACGCCATGGTGAGAGTAAGAATTCACAGGTTCTTCACACAAAGATAATCATCTTCACTTTCTGGAACTTTCATCATAGTAAAAAATACATATTCTCCATCTGCTTTTAAAAATATTAATGCTGATATTTCCATACTAGACAGAAGGAAATAAAACCATACAGATTCACATTTCTTTTCGTCTCTCAGGGGTTTTGTAACATTGCCTTGGTAACGGGATGGATCCAGTTTCAATTGGTTTCCCAACTGCTGGAATGTACAGCCGTCTCAGACACAACATCTCTGTTAATACCAGTGTAAATGATCATTAAACCCCCAAGCACAGAAGTGGGACGTCATCTTTACCTCCAGCAATAGAGGGCAGTGTTGCCATAGATGGCTTATAAAAGTTTACAAGGAAGGCCTTTATTTAAGGAAATGTATAAGGGAAACTCTTTAATGGTTGTGTTTTGTTTCTTCCTTCATGTTAATTCTAATATGGACACTTTATTCTTATTTGTTTTACATTTGTATTCGCTTTTTATATCAGAGACTTTTATTATGAAGTTCATAAAAGGAAGTGCAGTGGCGCTGTTTGTGAATGTTCGCGTACTTTCACGTTATAAGCCTCTGGCTGGTGTGCGAAAGGAGCATATATTAACTTGCATGATTTAAGGCTTTCTCCTACCTCTCAGCTCCTGGCTAATAAAGGGCACAAGGTACGGTTTTTGGCAGTTATATTGTGTGGTAAATTTAATTGTTTAAACATATTGCCTTATCAGCATTGTAGTTTTACCTTATAAGTTATATTGTTTACAGTAGTTCAGGGTTTATTCGATCATTGGTATATTTTATGTTTCTTAATTGCACTCTAAAGGGAGGTTGTTAAGATTGTAATTAATAAAATCATACAGGTAGCACCAAAGGAGAGGTTGTCAATGTTTAAAATATATTATATATATACTTCGTTGTCGTTGTAAATGCTTTATATACATTTAAAAATACATTATCAGTGTTAAAATAAGTCTTTTTAAAATATTGTACAGTGGTAAGGCAAGGATATAATTTAATGCATATAAAAAGGGGATGACATTGTAATGTAATTTATAGTAAATACGTATACATTATTGTATATGTTTATTACTAACATTGGTGATGATTCATACCATTTACAGGCAAATGTCTATTGTTTGTTTTGTTTTTATTCAGCTCTTACGGTGTTTTGAATATTAAAAAACCTTTATCAAACATCAGTTAGAGAGTAAAGTGCTTATGTTCAGCCGGGAATGCTACAACCAGTTTGCTGTCATACATCCTCATCTGTGGCTAATAATCATCAAAAGACTGCTGTAGGGGGGGTTCATAGTCTAAGGCAGAATTTTACATTTTTGAGTGTTCAAAACATTCATCAGTCATGAAAACACCCCATGCTTTTATTACTGTCATATACCAGGCCTTTTCAAGGCTTTATTTAACTACCAGTTGGTGTTTCACGTAATTTTCTGCTTCCAGAAAACTGTATTTTTCTGTCCCTCTAATATCTCTAAAAGCAGATCAAACACTATAAAATATCTACCGCTCTGACAATCACATGTGAGCCAAGTCTAGAAGTGTGAGTATTGATACTCTGACCCTCAATGTACTTCCTTTGAGTTTTTCAGTCCCTCAACAGCCATGTTTAGGCTTTGCATAGAAAGAAAACGGGATATTTGCCATGCACTTAAGCTCATTACATACAATTAAAAACGCTAAAAGGGTCATGGGGTTAGCATTTTAATCAATCTGAGTTGTTTTTAAATCAATCAGTCCTCATTGCTGAGGACCTGAGCAACTGGACCAGGCCGAGGGGATGCCCATGGATCCAGAAGTGCTTCGTCGTGTGGTGGGTGTGCTCCACAACCTGACCTGACCTGACCTGAGGTGCTTTTTGCTATGCATTGCAACAGATACCGTCTCAGATTTTCTTCTCAAAAGCAGGCGTGTCTGTATTCCATTTTTTGCCAGGGGTGAAATACTTACAAGATATGAATGTCTTCACATAAGCTGTTGCAACCAAGTCAACCCTACCCAAGCTTAAGGCTTATAGGTCCCGATAGCTGGAAGGGTAACACACTCTGATCTTAATGAGGATGTTTCTGTAAGAACTGTCACTGGACTGCAGGCCAGGTGTGTAAACATGGCTAAGGGTTGTTGGCCGCTTATGAGTCATTTAAATTCTATAAAATACCTTCCTTCTTTCCACTTGGAGCCCTTCCTTGTCCAGGTATTAAGGTATTTACAAAGGAATCAAGCAGCCAGGAGCAACAAAAACAAATCAATTAATGTTTGACCATCAATGTGGACTATAGCAGAAGCCTGGGATTGAATCAGGCAGCAGGGTTGCCTCTTGTAACCCAGGTGGCCCCATCAAGGAAGTACCAGCAGACGATTTGAAAGAGGGATCATTTGTTGTCGTGATTCTCATTGCCCCTGGAGCAGAACCCTTGTTCCTCTCCTATTACCCAGCTTATATCACCTCTCCTGCCGAATTTTAGCCTGGCTAACAAAGGGACCCTTTTTTGTTCCAAGTACTGCGCATGTAATGCTCAAATGGGTGTGATGTTTTATTCTAAAAAAAGAACAAAAAAAAAATAGATTTGCTAGACGTTCAGACTAGAACTTTGCAATAAAAGGCTCACTGAACCTTCAGAGTGTTGAAGACTCCATGTTAAAGAGCTGAGGGGTAATTTGTCCACAGACACCTGAAAGAGCCCCTGTGTGACACCAGGGAACACTGTCACTGTCCTTCTATATCATGTCACACAATTTCAGGAATGCCCCCCCACAGTCAGACATGCTGAGGCACAGAGAGGATGACTGTGAAAGAGGGCGTGGCTTACCTCCATTACGGAACGTAAAGTCAGGTGAGCTGCGTTTATTGTCCTGATTTTTATATATACATATACATATACATATATATATATTTTTTTTTTTTTTGTGTGTGTCCCTCATTCTCTGCCTTAGACATAAATTACTATGGTCTGTTGATTCTTGTCCTGAAAGTTGTACCCCCCCCCCCCCTTGCCGGTAGCATGCCAGCTGTTGGTTCTGTTGTGGGTTCTGTAATTTCATTTTGGATCCCTTCCTTACCCAGCTTTTCTTGAAAAGGAAATTCCAGCTCATTGCAGTCTCATCACATGACACTGTCACTGCTGCAACGCTTGTCACGAGCATTTAGGCAATGTTTCCAAGTTAGAATGGAATGTACAGATTGCTGGTAAATGTAAACCAAGCAATGCTGCTTGCCTGTAAATTGGAAATATATCATTGGGGATGATGTTTGAACGTAAGCTTCTTTAAAGTGAGTGTACTTTTAATATACATTTTTTTGTACATAGACATTTTTTAATTAATTGGATGGCTGTTTTTGACTGACTCACAAAGAGCCCGTGCAGCTGTCTATCACAACCCAGAACCCAGTTCTGAAAGTACTGCAGCCAGTGTATGTATTTCACAAAGGACCTTTGGGTTTGCTCTTGTTTGTATTGGTGTATCAATGTGTTTTTTTTCCCCATGTGGGGAAGGTCCTAATTGAGTAAGTGGCGTGCCTGAACAGTGGAGCCTGAACGATTTCCTCAGGGAATGTGGGAATCACCTGCTGGCTGAGATATGCTTCACTTGTTTGGTCCTGCAATGTACTGTAGTACAGATTCCGAGCTGTAGGGGCCGTTTATGGTGATCAAGGTGTTGGTGGACTCAAGTCTGTTAAACATTTTCTGTAGCAGAAAGTGATTTGCTTGTTTCTTCATGCAAAATGGTGCTTTGCACGTGGTCCTTCTGATTATGGAGGATGAGACCTTTAACCTCACTGTATTTTTTGGACAACCTTCCAAACTGTCCCTTTGATAATAAGAGAGAATAAAGTTTTCTCCTGTCACCCTCTCTAACCCTGTCATAAATGCAGACCTTCTCTGGCCTGTCTTGTTATCTAAACTGCATGTTTTAAGCAAAGTGAAAAGTCAGGTTCTGGACTCCTTACTGATATGAATAAAATGCTCACATTACCAACATGTTTCCAAATTTATTCACAAAGATGTGTACACACATAGGCTACCAGTCAAAAGTTTTTGCACACCACAGGTTATTCCTTTCTCTTCCATTATCATAAAGTGTAGATTTTTTTCTTGTTAAGCACTGGAAAGTTGAGTGAACAACTATGAATGAATATATAAGTCAAATAAAACAAGTTGCCTTTATAACATGGAAAGTGTATGTAACAGTGCATGTCTGATGTCCTATTAACTGGTTGAGTGGTGATGGCATAGTCAAACTCAAGACTGTCCTTTAATTTTAAATGCACTAGGTTAAAGTCTTTCATCCAGAAACAGAGCAGTATTTAATGTCCCTTGTAGAAGTACAGTGGGATGTAGGGATAGGTGCTGTACCAGCACTGAAAACTGAGGATCTTATACTGAGGATGGTTCAACTTGCTTCTCTAATGAAACAGTCCAGAATGGAATGCTGTTTTTGTTAAGGGGTAATCATTTTATTGCACTGCAGGCTGCAGTTTTGGCACATAACACTGGAAGCAAGATTGGTATCTGATTATATGGATTGCATGTGATCTTGTTAGAGGCTCGTGGTTACCTATAGCCTTCTTGTTAACCAGTTTCATTATGATAGGTTATAAAACTGACTGCACTTTACCGTATGCTTAGGAAGTCACTTAAATACAAGTACCAGGTGTTGGGAGGTACTGACAACATGACATTAGAAATTAATTGTCATTGGTGACACACCACAGCACAACAATGAAATGTGTTCTCTGCATTTAACCCATATGTGACAATGGGAGCAGTACCTTGCCCAAGGTACCTCTTTGGTGCCTTGCTGGTCAAGGATTCAAACCTGCATTCTTTCAATTACAAGCGCATGTCCCTAACCATTAAGCCACCACTGCCCACATACATTGTAGATTTAATCTCTGGAGTTTATGGGAATAACAATAGTAAATACAATGCAGTAGATCCCTACAAAAGTGTCAAATTTGGTATTTTTTTTTCCACAACTAAATTAAAACTTCGTTGAAGCACAAATGGGAGTCACAGCTAAATACGGCACGATGGCTCAGCACCTGTCTAACATCAGCCCGGAACGCGCGCCGGTCACGTGACGCTCGGCGCTCTTGTCGGACATGCGGGCCAATCGCGCATGAGATCGCGTGGGCGGGTCTTGCCCGCGTGTGTATAATGTGTCGCTGAAACTCCATCCTCCTCCATCACCCGCCGTTCTGCAGCGTTCAGCAGCGTTCAGCCTAGAACTTCAACGTCAATGTATTACGCCAGACTTGTGCCGACCTTTTCCAAGGCGGCCTCGGACGGCATTCGGAGCATCGCCGTCTCATCCGGCCGGAGACTGCGCTCCACCGTTGCCTCCAAACGGCGCGATCCGGTTGCGGAGGAACAGCCATCCGACCCCACATGCACGGTGGTGAAGAAAGCCGCCCAGGTCGACCTGATCAGCCAAACCGGTACCGCCACGCAGGATGTCCGGATCAGCAGCATCTCGGTCGACTTCGAAAACACCAAAGAAGCGTACAGAAGCAAGGACACGCTCGAGCTGCTCAGAAGTTTGCTGGTCTTCAAACTTTGCTCATATGACTTTCTGGTTGATAGGAACAAGGAGGTACGATGTCGCTATTCCGCATTTACGGTAACAGCATTAGGATGCGAGGGACTGGCGCTGAAATGACGATAAAACATATAAAACCGGTGTCCGCTTTAGTCTGACGCACTTTAGATACTTATTCGTTTTATATGACATAATTAACCAACTAAATAAAAAGTCAGATCCGTGTGAGTAAACTGTCGTTAGCCGAGTGGTTTTCATTTGCTGCATCATCATCTCTCGGGTAGATCCGCGGATTTCGTTTTTTCATTCATATGTTTTAATTTGGCATAAGTCCCTCTTACATCCGCGTTAATAATAATGCGTTTCGGTTGTGTTTACTTCCTGGTTACGTTTACTCCGTTTCGATTCAGTATTACCCCTGTTTACATGTATTTAGCAGATGTCCACGTTATCCATGTACAAATGACAAAAGCAATTTCCCCGGAGCAACTGCACATGAAATCAAACTTAAGTCAGAATATTCATCCTTGGTGGGCAATTATGCAAATTACTTGACAACTAATTGTATTTAAATTGCATCGCTTGTTTGTGGATCCGATCCAAAATGATCGAGCTCTACGACGTCTAACTTGTTACTGTCGTGTTAACTATCGCTACTAATAAACGTATCTGAAATTTATTATTCCTGCGGAGACAAAATCCAGTTTTTCTGTGTTTCTGCATAGATGAGTTTCCAGTTTGCATCGTATGAGCCTGTCATGAAGTCTCCCCCGATCGCTTATTTTTCTGCCTTACGATACACTTAAGACGGGTCTGTTTATGACTGAGAAATTACCCAGAAGTCTGATGAACCTGGAAAGTTATAGAATGTAGTTACTCGCAGATTTGAAATGATAGACATGGTGAAACACTTAAGTATAAATCTTTTTTGAAGTATATCTACACCTTTCTTTGCTTGGAGAAATGTTGTATATTATACACGCACACATAAGATGTACCTCTTTTCTCCCCCAAAGCTTATGGACATGACCAGGAAGCTCCTGGGCCAGAAGATGTTTGAGAGGTTGATGAAAATGACCTTCTACGGGCAATTTGTGGCTGGGGAAGATCACGAGGCTATCAAGCCGTTGGTCCAAAAGAACCGGGCTTTTGGCGTGGGGTCGGTCCTAGACTATAGCGTGGAGGAGGACCTCACCCAGGAGGAGGCTGAGAAGAAGGAGATGGAGTAGGTACCTTCGACATCCAAAAGGGCTGTGCAGCAGAGTCACCGGAGATGTCTTCCATGCTGTGAAATCTGCTGTCCCTCGCTGCTGTCAAGTTTACATTCCAGGCAGCATATTCATACTGTGCTCAGATGTCCCTCTGGAATGCAGCGCATTCTCTATTCAGGCCAAGGAAGAATGTCGTTCTGCAAATAAATTAGTTTTGGGTACGCCCAACATATTCAGTTAGCTGTTTTCTACTTGATAATTCCTTGAATAAAAATCTAGAGAGAGAAGTTCTATGTGTTTCCTGTACAGTAGTGACTGTGATCATGATTAGATTTGTGAGATTATGTAACACTGGCAAATAGTTTTTTTTAGGTAGGCTTAAAATGGGGGACATGCAGTACTTTAGTTTGGAAAGAATTCAAATTGAACGGTGTGTTTGAAAGGCTGTCTTCCCTGGGACTGATGGAAAACAGGCGCCATAGGGAATCGCACTCAAATTTCATTGCGCACTTGGCAGCAGAACACACCCCCCAAACACCTACCACATCTTCAATAGGCCTAATGACACACTCCCCCCTTTTTCAGCCTCTGAGACTTGGTGTAGTTGCTGTTGTCATCTCATTGGTTGCTGAGGGCAAGGCCCCCTGCATCTTATTGGGTGATGGAAAGGGCAGATTCTGTTTAAGGAAGTCCCTTACGGGCTGCTTGGGAGGCGATGAAATATGAGTCGCTCTTCTGAGGCAGTTTGTGGCTGGAGGGCGGGCGCTGTTGCGTAATGTTGCTGCCTCGCGCTGGCAGGCAGGATCTGCACACACACTGACGCAAACAGAGAGCTGAATTTGAAACTGGGCCCAGCACCGACCCGAACAGCCTTTCTCAGAATTTTTGTGGCATTTGCCGTTTTGCTTTGAGGGTTATTTGTCCTGAATGACCCAGGATTAAATCCAGGAAGCAGGAATGTCAGTAACTGTAAGGATCTCAGGTCACACACCCAGTCCCATCTACCAGGGTTTCACTTAATCCTAAAACCGCTTAAAGGCCGTTTATAAGGATTCGGGGCTGACTGTGCCAGATTCTTTTAACCGTAGATAGCAAGTATGTTTGAGGTCAGGTTTGCATGCGATGGCTGCGGGAGACGCCTTATCAGCAGATAAGCAGTGTTAGCTTTTCGGAGGAGGCTTTTCAGATCCTGGCCTGCATTGGTCTGGTCCTCGCCCTTTTAGAGAGTCGTCATTGGTGCTTATCCACCGGCTGCGGTCAGATGACCGGTGAGGAGATCAGCTTTCGGAATGTAACCTTGGCGGCTACATTGCCAAGGTGATGTCTGAGTGTTGGCAGGCAGAAAGGATGACGCCACTGACTGCAGTTGGTGGTTATCAGGTATTTGACCTTAACGTGGCTTGTGTCACAAGCACAGTTGTGTCACTCTAGTGTCCCATAAGTTCGATGTTCATATTGTTAGTTTCGTTTTTATTAACACATTTTTTACTCTCTGTTTTCAGTTCATGCATGTCTGAAGTGGAAAAAACAAGCCCAGGTATGTATAATTATAAACGATTTTTATGGAATTGGTGAGTTGAAATACGATTGATTATAGTGACACCATCCATGTTCTTATTGTTTCAGAGTATTTCAGAGAACATGGCACTATTCAGGACAGTGCGTGTACAGTACATTCTGGCCTCCCCAAATTAAGCGGGTGTCAGTCTTTTGCTCTCTCTTCTGTCCACTCTAACCGCAGTGGGTACCAGATGTACCCACGGCTCTGTGAGCTGAGGATGACCACTGGCGATCAGGAAGCAGGGGTCTCCCTTACCGGGGATATTTAAGAGGGGGGCACATTGCTGGGAATTTACAGGCCCCCACTCTCCCCAAAAAGGGTTGCAGCTGCTATGTTTTCTCTCGCCAGCCATCATCTGGGGTGAGGCGCGGGGGTTGACATAGCTCTGCGTTTACTTTGGGGTAAAGCCTGGAGTGGCAGGTTTAACTGTACAGTGTCACTTTTGCTTTCTATTTCCCTCTTTCCCCATGATTAAAATTGTCAGTGGCTATCTTTTAAATTGTTTGCCTTGTTTCTTAATATTGCAGTAGAAACAGCAGTAAAGTGTAAGGTCTGTCTGAATTTTCAGATGTAATACAGACTCCCATCAGCAGGTGGCTCTCTACCCTCAAAGTCCAAGCTGTATTACCGTTCCCGCTTCTCCCTGCAGGCACGGAGCACCGTGAGAAGCAGTACCAGGCACACCGGCGGTTTGGTGATCGGCGAGGGGGAGTGACCAGTGCCCGCACCTACTTCTACGCTGACGAGTCTAAATGTGACCAGCACATGGAGACCTTCCGCAACTGCATCCGTGCCTCGGGTGAGGTGAACGCCAGTCACTGTCACTGTTTACGATGTGTGACTGTTTCTGGACTAAGTCCCCACTTTCTCCCACGCCTGATAGTTAGATAGTTTAAAGAACTGTTCGATGGCACTTGGCCATTTTAAAGAATTTCCCCCCAAAACCAAAAGCCTGAGTCCTTTGAAGTGTGGTGGTAATTACATTTGCTAGGCAGATTTGCAAAAAATTGTGAGTGGGATGAAAATAAAATCTGACACTCATTTTACTGGGTAATCTTTTCTCCTCCCCCAGGTGGGAGCTCTGAGGACGGCTTTTCAGCCATCAAATTGACCGCTTTAGGAAGGCCTCAGTTCTTGGTGAGTTTGGGAGGGGTTTGGACTGGAGTCGCGGTGAGTTGATGCGTTTCCCCAGTATTGCGGCTGACTTTCGGTCCTCTCTGGCACCAAAGCTCCAGTTCTCGGAGGTGCTGGTGAAGTGGAGACGCTTCTTCGGGTTCTTGGCAGCTCAGCAGGGAAAGGAAGGTCTGGCGGCGTTGGAGCAGAGGTTGGAGCTGGAGCAGTTGCAGGTACGCGGCCCGTGTTACACCCTTCTGCCGCATCGGGAACCTCGAGGTTCAGCACACATCCACAGCTTTCCAGGCATTCATTCGGCCAGCTCCTGCAGGGGGTTTGATTTGATTTGTCCACACTATCTTGATGTGGTTAAGACAAGCACACCTCAGGGTGGGGGGGGGGGGGGGGAGGCAGATAACAACCTATTGTTTAACCCCCTTTGTCAGCAGTACGTAGTCGATCATTATGGCCACCGCAAAGGAAAGCAAATACTAATTTAAAGCGATAAGTTTTCACATGATCAAATCACAAATGCCAATAACCTGCTTTTTCCAGGCTGAAATAAATTTGAAGTTTCCCTATGCATGCATGGTTTAATAACCAGTCTTTATGAAACCGCATGATTCTATTGCTTTTTATAACCAGTAATGTAAAACTCAGAACTTGTTAAAAGATTTGTCAGGGGATAAAAGCCAACCACAGTTGGACCTCGTAACTCACTGAACATGTGAGTGACTCATGTCTAGGTGAACAGTCTGGCGCGGACACGCCCAGTCTTCAGTGTGACGTGCATGGCTTTCAGTTTTATTGCTGCCCTTTAATGGTGACTCCTACATAGTCATTCCTGACAGTGACCTCCGACTCCACCTATGACACATCCTGTTTTCATGGTCTCTGCAGGACAGCTTGGCGAAGCTGGGAGTGGCCGGCAAGGAAGATCTCCACAACTGGTTCACGGGGGAGAAACTGGGATTGTCTGGGTATGTCAGCACCTCTATACATGATCATGTGCACATCTGTGCTGGCGTGACGTGTGATATGTGGCACTGTGTCCCCAGGGTGTAGCACCCTCATAAAACATCTAAACACACTTTCACTGAACACCAACTCGGTCCCATCTGCCGTCCCTGCAGGACTATAGACTTGCTGGACTGGAACAGTCTGATTAATGACAGGACCAAGATCTCAAATCTACTGGTTGTCCCAAATCTTCAGGTATGCTCTTTGTTTACATACACGACTCATGGTCACTGCAATCTGCAATTCCCTCAAGCGTGCATAATTTAAATTAAAACAGGATTGCTAACACGTGCCCCTACCTGTAGGGGGTGGTAGAGGGGTAACACTCACTGGTTTTGCATCCTCCACAGACTGGACATTTGGAGCCGCTGCTTAGCAAATTTACAGACGAGGAGGAGAGGCAGATGAAGAGGATGCTGCAGAGGATTGACGTACTTGCCAAGGTGCAGATTGATTGGTTGACTGGTTTGGGTAATTGCTATAGTATGATGCATAGGTGCGAGTAGGATATTTGGGAAGTATTTGAGTAAATGAGTACTGAACACAGTCTGTTGGCATAGTTTGGTTAAATGGTTCCTTATGGTGATGATCAGAGTTAAACCCATCATACATCAGTTGAGGGCTCCAACCAACCCGACTGGCTGAATGAGGCTGCAGGTGTAGTGAATGAGGCTATGTTTTCCAGCACGCCTTGAGCGAAGGCGTCAGGCTGATGGTGGACGCCGAGCAAACCTATTTCCAGCCAGCAATCAGCAGGTTGACCTTGGAGATGCAGAGGATTTTCAACAAGGAAAAGCCCATCATCTTCAATACCTATCAGTGCTATCTCAAGGTGAGCCCTCTCCAGGCAGCGAATAGTACGTCTATGTTAGCGTCTAGCTTTACCCTTGCATTTGCTGTATTTTCTGACCCCACTAGCCGGTGCTCTTTGTTTACTTTGGGGCATGCTTTGAAATGGTAAATGGACTGCATTTATATAGCGCTTTTCTACTCCTTCGAGTACTCAAAGCGCTTTACAATGTATGCCTCACATTCACCCATCCACACACACATTCATACACCGGTGGCGGAGGCTGCCATGCAAGGTGCCAACCAGCTCACCGGGAGCAATTTGGGGGTCTTGCTCAAGGACACTTTGATGGGGTCAGGACCTGCAACCCGGGGCTCGAACCTGCAACCTTCCAGTTGCCGAACGACAGCACTACCTCCTGCGCCGCCATCTTCCCAAACCCTTTGAACCCTTTTTTGAACAGAGAGCACCATCTAGTGGGGTCAGAAAATACAGCAAATGGTTCATGATGCATCATTTTGGCCATGATTACCCTAGACTGTGAAGGTATCATGTTCCCTGTGGGTGTTTAGCTCTTTCCTGACTAAGCACAACCTCCTACCTCACTCCTCGCCCCCCAGGAGGCCTATGACAATGTATCTGTGGATGTGGAGCTGTCCCGGCGGGAGGGCTGGTACTTTGGGGCTAAGCTGGTGCGTGGGGCCTACATGCAGCAGGAGAGGAGCCGGGCGGCGGAGGTCGGCTATGAGGACCCCATTAACCCTGATTATGAGGCCACCAACCGGATGTACCACAGGTAAGGGTGGGTTTTCATGGTGCCTCTATCTCGTGCTGGCAAACCGTGACCATGTCTTTGTACAGCTCAGTGCAATGACCCTTTTCCTTGAAGGTGTCTGGACTTTGTGCTGGAAGACATTGAGCACAGGAGGAAAGCCAACATTATGGTGGCTTCGCACAATGAAGACACTGTCAAGTTCACCTTGCAGAGGTGAGACTCCACATCAGAGAACTTCGTCCATCTCCTTTACGACTTCTCGGTAACAGAGTGATTCGTACAGGAAACGGTACTGATGCTCTCCACTGATCCTTCTTTCCCGTTTAGGATGAACGAGATGGGTCTCTCCCCCACGGAGAACAAAGTCTACTTTGGTCAGCTGCTGGGCATGTGTGACCAGATCAGCTTCCCCCTTGGTGAGGCTTCTGCTCAGGCCTTCCGGTTGGCAGCCATAGTGACTGTAACGGGGGTGGTTACGGGTGCCAGTTACACTTTTGACTTCACCCTGAGGAGCCTGGGGCACCAGCTGTCCTGTCAGATAGGCAGCTTAGGCTCAGCTCACTGCCCATAGCCATTCCAGCACAGATGAGATGCTGAGAGATTTCAGAAGCTGCAGGCAGTATGTGTGTGTGTGTACTCCTACACAGACTCCAGAGTTCTGATACCCTCAGTCACCATCTTGAAACACACTGAGATTACTGTAAAATTCTAATTACATTAATTAGTCGCCTTTTTCGTCCACCCACATATTGTAGTTGTACGGTCATACTGATTGTTGTCTTCAGTATAGGATTGTTGGTGTTTCCCTTGTGCTCTCAGTATTGACCATGTTGCTGTTTTTTCTTCTAAATACAGGCCAGGCTGGATTCCCAGTGTACAAGTATGTGCCCTATGGTCCCGTAAATGAGGTCATACCATACCTATCGCGCCGCGCACAGGAGAACCGTGGCATCATGAAGGGGTCGACTCGAGAGCGCCACCTGCTGTGGAGAGAGCTCAAGCGCAGGCTGGCTAGCGGGGAGCTCCTGTACAGTCCAGCCTTATAAGAGCGGTGGTTTTGTAGAGGGAAGGTAAGGGAAGGGTGGGAGACAGTGTGTAACACTTCTGGTTCATAGCTCTTGTGAACTGAAAATCAAAGGAGCTGCATTCGTTTGAGACGGAACGGGAAATTCTGTGTTTTTTTATATCTTTTCAGGCTCCCTTAGCGTGAACTTCTACCGTAGTGTAAACTTCTGTTAAGGTTTAATATAGTACAGCCTGTATCATTGATTGCTCATAATACCCTGTGCCTTGTTCTTTCTTAAGCTGTACATACTTCTGTTCCTCGTCTTGTCCGTATGTAATATGTCATGGTTCCTTCTCAGCTGCAAAACTGAACAGTGTTAAGACTCATCTACAAGTGTGAGGACTAGCAGAAAATTAACACAAAGGCTTCTGGTAACAATATAAATAAACGTACTGTAATTATTTTGGTAACGGTCATCTGGTTACACTCCGGCACTCCGGTTTGTCGGTTTCTGTGAAAAGCTTTGTTTAGGGCTTGTTCCAGATAGACGAAGATGGGATTTTCATGGATACTTGTTCAGAATGCTTGTTCATGTATGACATGGTTGTATGTGTGTTTAATGTGCCTTGTACATTGCAGAATGTACACTAAAACAAAAACAACCCAACCCGGGTTAACTGGCAACCCAGCGCAGGGTGAATATTGGACAGAACACACACTGGGTTACTGTGACCCAGTCTCTAGAGTTACGTATTTTAATGATGGTGCGTGTTCGTTACAACTGCCCACCCACTGCTAAATGAAATTTACTATTAGTACATTTGTCTTCTACTATTAAATACATATTAGCACCACATTAACACCATCTTTGTCAAGTGATTGTATAAAATATATTCACTTGACAAATTCTTAATGTTGTAAATATTTATTACTGTTAATGTTAGCTGACAATAGACGAGACGGTCTAACGTTATTCAGAGAGGAGTTAAATGTAAAACTTGCATTATTGTTGATATTTAGAATCGAACTTTATTCAGAATTATATTACAAAATTACAAATATTACAATGATGATATTACATATATTATAATATTACAAATATTATAAGACAGTGAGTTGAAATTTACATCTGTGCGAGTATATAAAGCATATCACGTCTGTGTGAAAGGGCATATGTATTATGTAGAGCAGGGATGGGGAATCTGTTCCATGGAGGGCCGGTGCAGCTTTTTGGGATGATCTCTCCATCAGCCAATAATAAAACTCTGGTCCTGGGGACCCACTGTCATTGGCTGATTGAGAGGCCATCCCAAAAACCCGTTCCGGCCCTCCATGGAACAGGTTCCCCACCCCTGATGTGGAGTTACACAACTTTTAAAGTGCCTCACCTTATTAAAGTGTTCCTGCAAACTGATTTATTCCAATGAAGTGTAAATTACACATGGATTGTTAAATGTGTTCTGTTGGGAAGTGCTAAGCTATGGCAGTTTTAGAGTGAATTTTCCTTTTTCTCTCACCAAAATAGCTTGGTGTTTCTCATATTTTTCAAGCCTGCTGTAAATCAGTCCTTGATTTATAAGGATTACGATCTGTTTTGCTGGCTTTGTGATGGTATCTGCCTTCCTGCGTCCTTAAGTGTTTAAAAATAAAAGAGCCATAAATCACACTGCATTCTCCAGTAAACATGATTCTCACATCACAGTCTGTTTTTGTTTCTTAGCGGTTTTGTGTCAGTCAGTGTGCAATATTCCTCTAGTCTGATGCTGTATTTCCTGTCGTTTTGAAGTGCGAAGCCCCTTTCAACTTGCTGATCCGCAGAATCCCTTAGTGCCACTTGATTGAAAAGCCGCGTGGGTGAAGGTAAAAGCCTCACTCAGAGTTGTACGGGAACTGGTGTCGACCCTGAAGGAAATCAAACTGCAAAATGCTGCTCTTATTGCTAATGGAAAATCAAATGCTGCTTTTATGTAGAGCCTTTCAGTAATAAACAGGAGAGCGTGCCATTTCAAAATATCCTCCCTAATTTAACCCATAATTTCAGTTGATTTGGTCTTGGTTAAGCTCAGGATGAATGAGTCTCCACCACACAACTGTGTCGCCCTTGTCCTTAGAACCCGTAACTGAGCTGTAAAAATCCGATGATCATTTTGAATCGTATCGCTTCACTCGATATAAATCAAACTGGTCAGCCGGAATCACAAGTAAGGGGAAACAAAGCCCTTGTCGTTTTAATCAGACCAAATACTTGAGTGAGAACAGCAACACCAGGTGTTGGCCTGTCAATGGGCCCGTTCTGTTAAGCTGCCTGCTTCCGGTTAGCTCAGTATTAAACAGGCATTGCAGAAAGTCCTCATTGTGAAGCGTTCTTTCGTTTCAGCAGGCCGGCCCAAAGGTCGCATCATTGTCTGCAATTGTTCCAGTGATTAGATGATTAGACCATCCTGTGTGCATATGTGACTTTTCCTTCTTTTAAATTACTGGTGGATTTAGGTATGAATGACAGGGGCATGTGCCCAGGGGGGCATCTTTCTGGGGGCAGCACGGGCTGCCAGCGTGATGGGTTATCTATCGCTCATTTGCACGCCACATCGATGATATGTCAGCATATGGGTCAATTGCCCTTGTCAGAGCCTGATTCTGGTTTGTGAGGGAGACAGGCCAGTACTCAAAAGTAGGAGATGGGGGGGGGGGGGCTGACCTCAGGTCGCTGCACAGGTAACCTGATATACACTCTCAGAAAGAAGAAAAATTCGACCTTTGTCTGTCACTGGGGCTGTACCCTGCAAATTCTACCGTTAGCTGTGGGTAATTTTATTTTTTAAGGTACAGAAATGGACTCTGAAGAACATTTCTGTATCATTGATGGTACATTAATGCTGTTTGTACCTTTGCGATGATCCTCAGAATCCTTAAAAGGTACAATTACGAGGGTGCAGCCCCAGGGGGGAGCAGGGTAATCTATCAAAGGGTGCACATCTAACTTTGTACAGTACTAATGCAATTAGTAAAATCAGTCACATTACCAAATGCTAGCAAATAATCGAGAATTCCTTCATAAACCTGTGAATATATAGCTTCACAGACATTGCATTTTTCCTGATTTGTGTGAAATCGAAAATAATATAAAGCCAGTCTGCACACCACCAGGTGAATTTAGTTTGGACTCTTGGTTGATAGTGTTGGGGGAGGGGTAATGTACTAATGTCCGAGTGCCAGATTAACACAAAAGGTCCAAGCCATCAGGCAGCCAGTTTAGAAAAAAGAGGAAGGTGGAAGACCAGAAACGTGAAAAAATAACATTAGGCATGTAATGAAATATGCTACTGTAGTTAACACTAGTATTTTTATTAGTGTAATAATTCGAGACTATGATAGTTATGAATCTAAATATAAGCGGGGGTGGGGGGTAGATAAACGCTAACATCGGGGTATGCCCTCGACGCCGCACAGGCCAGAACCGCCGCTGTTAATTGAAATGGAATTAAAGTTTAACATCGCTTGGTTTTTTTTTAGCAAGCGTGCAAACGATGAAGAAAGGCGTATTAAAATTAGCCGTATGAAATATCTGCTAAAGCAGACTGGGGATGTATTGTCGCGACCCCCCCCCCCCAACCCCCGTGAGAAAAGCGGGCGGGAGCTCGATTCGTGAAGTTATTTTAGGAGACGCTTCAAGGGGGGAGCTCGGGGAGGTGGTGGGCGGCTCCTTTCGTAACGCCGCAGTCTTTTTACTGTTATGTAAGAAGTGGGGGGGGGCATGTGCGCGTTTCTGTGAGCCAAGACGGAGCGTCACCCGGTTATTAGTGCAGGTTCCCTATAGAAAACCTTCGTGTATATGAACCCCAGACGATGGATTTGGCCCATTCATTCCCGCGTGCAGTTTTTCTGTTTTCTGCGAGATATGACCTGAATTCGAGGCAGTGGGGAAATTACTTTAGTAGAGTAACATCAGATGGGCTAATTAATATTTTATGGTATTCCAGCAACAAAGTAGTATTTTAGTACCACTTTATATATTAAATGATATAAATCGTTTCTGTGCTTTTATTTTGGTTCCATCGCAACTACACACTTTAAATCGAAGAGATATATGGCTGCCGAAAGACGATTTGTTATGCACCAGCGATGCTACGACGGACAGGTAACCCCCTTACGGCAAAACAGCACCCTCTTGTGGCAGAACCCCTTTTTTCTGAGGGACAGACCCTAACGTGGCGGCAACCTTAGGAGGGCTGAGGTGAAGGTAAACCTTGGGTACGTGCTTGAGCCTTGCGGCCGTTCAGTGTGTACCACAGCCCTGTGCCCTATGCTCCTTGGAATAGGCTCCAGTATCCTGGCCACTGTGACCTTGATAAATTACTTGCTGGATGGACACCGCCGTATAGTTACCCTTTGAATAGATATTTGCAGAATTGTGATTGTATATTGTTGGTTGCGAAACGTATTAGTGGTTAACATTTAAACAGACCGAATATTCATAGACACCTTGGTGACTATTTTCTAGGCACAGAACAACTTGTCGATTCCCGGGTAAAGGTTGTAAATCGATCTGACGGAGCAGGACACTATATTGGCATTTCGGCGTTTTGCCACCAGAGGGCAGTGTTTACACTAGCAACGCCACCAATATGTTGCGAAAGCACCTTCATCTCAATTGCAGTGGTCTCTGGAGGACGACTGCCCCAGCAACGCAGATTATGAAGCCATAAGAATGCAGTCATACAGGAAGTGTTATTTAAGTGTTCTGCTCATTTTTTTATATAACATCATTCGTGCATATAAAAGGAATATTATTTCAGAATCTGAGCCTGGCCAGAACGTCCCTCTTACATAATTCTGTAAGTATATTCAGCACGCAGATAAACACAGTTTTAAATGAGGAGAATCCATGTTTCAAATATGAACAACTGAAAATTCACCACATTAGCAGATTTAAACCGTCCTGTGAGTAGCTGAAGCATGTGTAAATCAATTCATGCTCGGCAGAGACGTGAACAGTCAGAAAGACGTCATTTTCAAGTTATTGTAGTTTGTATCTTACCTTAATCCCAAGGGAGCCGTCTCACCATTCAGTCTTAGACATGTTTGTTTTTAATAATTGCTTCAGTCAATTAGCAATCAGGATGCACCCAGAATTCAATTTAAAGAGAACCAATTAATAAATTTAATCATGGTGTTGTAAGGGACACCCCAGATTCCCTTGAGTTAATAAGTCCCTAGAATTAAAGACATGCGACGCAGTGGGAACACATACAAGTAACATAAGCAAGAGGCATATCCACACTCAGGCAACAACTGCAACTCATGCAATAACTGACAGAGCAACAGGACAAAGGCAGACACATACCTGCACCAAGAGCGAGGTCATCAACACTTAAACACTGGGGATTTAGAGCTACGTAGAATAAGTGAGGGTCATAACGCACTAAGGACTCAAGTACTAGGAGGAACTAGGAAGAGAGTTGAAACAGGATAAAACTATAAAACTAAATAGGTAGGACTAACCTCTGGCCAGCCAGATAGTAGGGAAACACAGTTCTTAGCTGCAAACTCACACCATTCAGCCATGTGGCAGCCCAGAAAGCTGGAGAAAGCACTAGAGACTATGAAAGATACGAAACCTAAAGAACACAGAGGAAAGAATGGGATGGCGTGCGACACCTGCTGGCCAAACAGGGAAGCAACAGGCAGAATGGGACAAGGCAGGGACCGAACCTGACATGTTGCTTTCGAAACAGGTCTCTAAATACCTTTCCTAAGTCGCTGGTCTTTTTATGAAGATTAGTTGTGTTGTTGGATTTATAATAATAAAATAAATTCAGAAAATCCAGCCTGCTTGTGAAGTTTTGTCAAAAAACCTTATGAATGAGCACAGTTATATAATTAACACCGGTGCCCTTTAATGAACGAAAGCATGTAGGAGTCTTTTTTTTTCCCAAGGCGCTGGTCCCTGGTGAAAACGGATTACTCAGAAAATGCTCTGAGAGGGTAGAGGAGGCCGCAATGTGGGCTATTTCAGCATTGGAGAGCCAAGTCAGAAGCAGATGAATAGAGTGTGGGAATGCGGAGGTGAGAAAAGCCAGCAGGCTGACTCGGGTCAGGTGACCGTGCTGGGCGTCTACGGCGCTGCCAGGTAACAGACAGAATGATGGAGAGAGGGTACAAAATGTCACAGGGGACACTGGGAGTCGCTTCCCTGACTGGGTGTCCTTTGTCTCAGCCCTGATCTGATAATGTTACGGCGTGTTGTCCCTTGTGGACCCTTCAGTCGGTAGATGGATTGTCTCATCTTTTGTGAAACTCCAGGTGACGGGGATGGATTTTCAGTTTCTGCGTGGGTGTCGGCCATCCCTAATTCCCTAACATCCACCGGAGCTCTTAGGTAATGGTCGCTAATGACATGCGAAGGTCAAAGGACGAGCCGTGAGTTTGGAGATAGACGTGGTGCATTCTGCTGCGTGAGCCCCCTGCCCTGTTCTGTGTCCCCTGTGAGGCGTGACTGACAGCGGCTGGGTCACTCAGCAGCTGGAAACTGCTTCTGGAATCGCGTGTCCTTGGGCCTGAGGGGAGGTGTGCTGACACGAGCGGAGCTCAGCATCACTCCCACGAGATGCAGAGGTCCTGCCTGCTCGGCCGGGTTCCTGCTCCGCTCCTGCGGCTGTGAGGAACGTCGGGCCCCAGTGTGAACGCTCTGCGCCCGCC